TGCTTTGTTTGTTTTTGATTTTATTAATTTGATGGCTGTAATGGTGTTAATGTTTTGATTTGTGTGTTCTGGTTTTTGTTGTTGGACTGTAGTACTTGTTTTGTTCTCTTATGTAGCATTCTTTTCCTCCAATTTATTTTAGGGAGGTTTTTAATGAGGCTAATAAGTTGAACTTCGATTATTGGTTTAATTTAATAAAATTGTTCTTTGCCTAGCCAAAAAAAAAAAAAAAAATTGGAAAGAGATTGCTCCCGTGACTATTCACCTTTATTAACCCAAGGAAATGAGTCAAATTGTAGTCCTTTATGTACAAGTTTAAGTTGGTGTATATTATAAGATATTCAAACAGGAAATGATGGAGAAAAGAATTCAAAAGGGAACTGAGATGTAATTTGAACCCTTTAATTTCCATGTACTATGATGTACGTATAACTGGTGCATTGGCCCAGAAACCATTTCCATGGGGAATAATATGCCTGTAGAACCTGCCTCATGATATCAACGACGGACCGAGGGAGATTGTTGTTCCTATAAAATTTTTAATTTCTCATAAATTCGCTCCCCCTAAATTTTATAAATTCACTCATAGTATAGAATCTTGTGTTTGTTTCTTTTCCTACATCCCACATCACCTCATGTCTCAGTTCAGTGCAGGTTGTCCCCTTATGATGTGCATCGACTCATTCCAAGTTCCATCAAATAAAATTTTAGGGACTGAAAATAAATTATCATAAGAGAATATGAGATCAAATAAACTTTTAGGGTATGATTATTATAGCTTGCTACCCCTTGACCCATAACTGGATGAGAATATCTCTATATTACTAAATTTGACATCATATTACTGATTCAGCGTACATTTTCTTATTTTAATGAATTTAATTGGATTAAGTTGAATATGGGAGTTTTTAGTATTTTTTATCAAGATAAAATGGAAAAGAATTTCTTGATGAATCCATAAAAGCCTAAAAAATCATAAAAAGAGTTTTAAGCTTTGGTTATTATATGTGACGAGGACAGTGAGAAAACCCTATTATTTTTTAGCATTTGTTGAATACAATTCTTCATATTCATCATTGTTAATATATAAAAATATTGATATTTGCTTTTATTTCTCCTTGTTTTGATGTTTCAAAGTTCTAAGCGAAGAATTGAGGGTTGAGTCTTTCAAGGAGAAAAAAAAATAATGAATAAAGTTTACTTGAAACTTGAAGTGGTATTTTGGTAAGGTAAAATAAACTGAGTGCAGTAAAATGTGCCTTGAATGATTATTATTGTGATTAATGGCTTAAGACGAGCCATTTATAAATTATATAGCTATATGCTTAACATGTTAAAGGTATGTTCCATTTATGTAGTGTTGCAATGGTGTTCATAACTATATACTTAACAATGTTAGATTTGCCATTTCACCCTCTAGGATTGTTTGAATAGATATTAGAAAAAAATATTTAAGGATATATTAACTACTCATAATTTAGCTCAGTTTGCTTTATCACTTTTGTCATCTTTATGTTTTTCTTATGATTCGCCTTCTTGCATGGATGATGTGCTTCTTTTTGATGCCATCAATGGTTGAAGTTATAAAAGACTGTTTTACTTCCAAAAAAAGGGGTTATATGCTGTCTTTTATATAAGTTTTAGAATGTAATTACGTACGTGTATCTGTTTGAAACTTTTCTTAATCTAATGACAACACGCACACACCATATAGATAGAACTGTTCGAACCCGGCACTTATAAGGAGAACAACACTGCGAACACTTCTATGAATTATATTGAATTAAACGCATTCTATAAAAGGTATAGCTATTGTTTCATATAATTTGGTAATTCGAAATGTACCTTTTGCTTTGTTTTATCTCCTAGTATGACTATGGTTTGATCCTACCAATAGGGTTAAACATTGGCTACGTCAACATGTAAATTGGCATAGAATTCAATTTCAGTTGTGCAATTGATTTAGAATAGTGGTATATTTTTGTTCCATTGTCACTCGGGTTAATTGTGGTTTAGTACCCTTAAACTCTTCTTTCGTAGCCTATATAAGACTTGTTTCATTCAGCAATAAAACTTTAGAAATCAAAATTTGATTTTATGCAAACTTTGCGCTTAAATTTCACTTTGAATTTTGAGATTTTGTTCTTAAATTAATTCAAGCAAATTAATGCAAGAATCCATTATTTTAAATTTATATTTCGTGAATCAAACACGTGAAGAAATCAAAAGATAAATTAGGCCTCCATTTACACACTCTTGCTCGGCTGTCATTGATCTGGACCAAAAAACACCGACAATAATCAAAGGATATCCAAAGAAAAGAATTTTTTTTAGTCTTGAAACGAGTTTAACCATGTGAGAGCATCATTGCATAAGAAGATGGTGTGTTCATGAACTCTATCGATTAAACTATTAATCACATGTTCCTCATTTCAAATCAAACATCAATTTTTTAGGGACATGTAGCATCTTTTTGCTGGCAAGTTGTATTATATACGACACTCGGGCTTTGAGCAGAACCATATGTTTCGGGAACCTGAGCATGGAAGGGAAAATGGTGGAGATGTTTGAAGTTGGTCCCTGTGAAAATGGCTTTCAACTGGGTTTTCTCATAGGTCAAAGGTTCTATAATCAAATAAGAAGAAGGTTGGCTGGAGACTTCATTCTTCGAAACCAGCTCCTTCCTTTTGCTCAAACGCCACAAGCACAACAGCTGATCAAAGCACTCTCGGAGACTAACCGGAAGAAGTTCCCGAGATACTGGGATGAACTTTTAGGGACTGCAGAAGGAAGCGGTGTGCCGGTTCTTGAAGTAGTTATTGCAGTTTGCTTATTTGATTAATACTCTCCTCTATTGAAACTGTCTCATTATATTCCTTCGTGTGCAGATAATACTTGTCAACTTCAGAAAGGAATTACTCCCGTTCATTCCAAATACAGAAATGAATTCGATTGCCGATACTGCGGATGACTGTTCCGATGTTCTCGTTGTCAGCGATTCGATGGCCATAGCAGCTCACAATGAGGATGCAATCTTCGGTTTAATCGACAACACGTATGCTTTAGTTTCCTGTATCCTGTTCAGATTCTAGGACAGTACAATACGCAGGATGAATGGAATATTCATGACATGTACCATGTCTATACTGGGTTTTGCAGCTACTTGATCAAGGGAAAACTGTCAAATGGATTATCCGTCATAGCTTACACATATGCAGGAGAGCTTCCAACTTGTGCTTTCGGATTTAACAGTCAAGGACTGGTAAAATTTATTTCATTATTGTTCAAAAGAAAAGAAAAGAAAAGAAAAGAAGCATGATTGTCACTTCAACATTTACTTTTGAAGGAGAATTATATTCAATGAAATCTAATATTTCCATCATACATACCTTAGGCATTCACACAGAATTCAGTACAGCCGACAAAACGTGATATTGTACCAGCAGGCATTGGAAGGAACTTTGTCTCTAGAGACCTTGAAGCAACTAGCATTGCAGATGCATTAGCTGTAAGACCCTCTAACGTTTGTTTCTTGTATCAGATGAAATTTAGGATCAGCTTGATCATTTAATGTACTGATAGAAGAGATGTGACCTCAGAGAATACGATCGTTCGAAGTTTCGCTGGGACACAATTACAATTTAATCGATATACAGAGGCGATGATCTTGAATGTGAAACTGCATCAAGATTGCAAGTTTCAGTTCATGAGGTTGGATCAACACCATTTTTCCAAGCAAACATGTATCTCCATCTTCAGGTTGAGCAGGTAAACAATAGAACACATAATAGAAGGTTACTAGGAATAGCAGTGCAATAGCTTTCTATATGACAAATGTAGAAGTGTTTTCTTGTTGATAGCACAGTACTCCCATTGAAACTGAAACCAATGTTTTGCAATGAAGGTAGAAGATGAAAACTCAATAAGAAAGCAAAAAAGAGCAGCTGTTCTACCACTAGAATCAAAAGCCGATGTGTTGTCACTCTTAGGAGATACAGAAGATCCAAAGTACCCCATCTACACGACAGGTAAAAATTGGACAGAAATGTAGAGCAGTTTCTATATCATGGTGAGTAACTTACCCGTTTTGGTGTTACTTTCAGGTCCACATCGTCATACACTCTGCACGACTGTCATTGATTTGGATGAAAAAACTTTTACATTAATGGAAAGAAATCCAAAGAAGGGGAAAATTTCTCATGTCTTCTCGATGTCTTCAAACGAGTTCAACTGCGAATCGGTCAACTCTGGTGCACTGGCTCGTGCCTAGAACATTTTATGCTGGTTCATAGAGCCCAACCATGTACCCCTTTTTTATTCTGTCACTTTTCTTGAGAGTTATTCTCCACCCCTTAACTCTCCTACTTTAGCCTTAGTCCCTAACTACCAGAATTTCCTTGTACCACTATGTCAGGGCAAGAGCACCTCAACACCACCATAATTGTCAAGCCAAGTGTGCTATTCAGCACATTAGCATTGATACTCTTTTACGGCAAGATTTATAAATGTCTACTGAGCTGAATCTCGAAAATTTTCTTTTGGCCAATCAACTTACAAGAAATAGCAGTTCAAAATCTTCAATTTGACAAATGCAGACGAATATCAAATATATTCTTGTTATTTAGCTCAGCACCATATATTAATTATGTAACTTGAATCCATTACAATGAAACTGAAACCAATGTTTTGCAACAAAGGTGCATGATGAAAACTCAATAAGCATACAAAAAAGAGCAGCTGTTCTACCACAAGGATCAAAAACCGATTTCTTGTCTCTCCTAGGAGATAAAGAAGATTCAAAGTACCTCATCTACATGACAGGAAAAAGTTGAAGGAAAGAAATGTAGAGCAGCTTCTATTCAATAGCAACTAACTTATTGTTACCATTATTATTTTCAGGTCCAACTCTTTATACACTCTGAACAGCACTCATTGATTTGGATGAAAAAACACTTACAATAATTGAAGGAAATCCAAAGAAGGGAAAAGTTTCTCATGTCTTCAAATGAGTTTAACTGTGAACCGGTCAACTCCTGTGAAGGGACTCGTCTCTAAAATATTTATGCTGGTTCATAAAGGCCAACCATGTGACCGTCGATACAACGCATGGCAGCAACCTGTATATAACGAACAGCTTCAGATTGGCACCTTCAGTTCACTATCAAGCTAAGCATGATAATATCAGCATGAAGAAATAATACCTTGCCATGGATTTCATATTTGATGGGACCATCTAGTTCAGCTCCTAATGCCATTAATTTTGTTACTGTACTATTAATGTCATTCACTGTGAATGGTAAAACTGAAGAATGGCCATTCTGCATCACATTATCACTGTCAAACAAAACTGGGTCAGAATTATCTATTTTAAACTCAAAATTTCCTCTTTCTTTCTTTATTTTTCATGGGCAATTGTATACTTATAAAAGCTAAGTAAATCTGGGACGACCCACAATCTTATTTATTTTGTGTAGTTCTAATCATCAAAGAAATTTAATAAATTTAAATGTAAAAGTCGTACCAGGGGGATTGCATGAGAGCAAGCTTGAGAGGACCAGACTGGAGCTCGGCCCACCTAAGCGTGCAGATGTTGACGGAGAAGTCGAGCCCTTGTGAGTAGAACTTCGCCGCCTTGGGAACGTCCTTGTGGAGTTGGAGCAACCACCTAAACGCCGCCGCCGCCGCCATCACCCTCCTTCCTTTCAGTTCACCTCCTTAAAGTGCTCAGCCCAAAATACTCAATGCCATCTTGCCGATATCTTTTCAAGCTTCCCTAAGGCCCAGGCCCAGACTCCAGTTAACAAGATGGAAAACAACATTCTCAGAGGGGTTTTGTATGTAAAAAAATTATCACATTTTCTATAAAATTCTTTGTTATTTATTATAAATTCTGAACTAAATGATGGAAAAACAAGTTGCACACAGAATTCGAACACCGCATATAAACTAAAATGAAGAAGGCATGGATGATAACATGGTCGCAATAATTCCTTTTAATGCATAAGGCATGGATGATGACATGGTCGGAATAATTCCTTTTAGTGCAGAAGGCATGGATGATGACATGGTCGAAATAATTCCTTGGGATAAAACAGAATTGATCAAAATTGTAACAGACCCAAACTTCATATGATTAAAAACTATACTGTGATATTCATTACTCAAATATACACACAAAACAAAATTTTTCAGAATTACAGATTGCTATTGCTACATGGCCAGTATTCATTTAAAACACTGTTGGACTGAAGCAACGCAGAAGCAGCCACTACTGCGAGTTAACCGAGTTCTTAAGCTATTGTTCAAAGTTAAAACATCACCACTTTGAGCTACGACTTTCCCCTGAATGTTTTTAAACGAGAGCGTTGCCCTTTGGACCTTGCTTCGAGAAGCTTGGCCTTCAAAGTGTTATCCTTCTTTGCTGGAGGTAGCTTTGTAGAAGACTGGTACGTCCAGATCAAGGGGTGTACAGTTCTTCATCCATTGTCGCACTGGGCTAGGCTGGTTCCTCCATGGAGGGTAACTACAAGAAGCCGCACCACAGTCAATTTCCGTATTTATATCCCCACCTTATGAGAACGCTATATGATTTCTCATCAAGTTGTCCAGTACATAATTCATCTGCATCCGCTCATCAAGCCATGATTCAGATATATGAAGAATCAAACCATGGTCAGCCACTCCCGTCCAATATTCATCAGATTTCAGTTTTAGTGTATGCACCTCCTGTTCGTAGCTTTTGATTCCCTTCGCAAACTCATCGCGAAGATCTTTCAAAAGCCTCCTCAATTTCCTTTCCCTATCAAGGTCTTTCAAGGCAGTAGAAAGAGAAGCTTTTGACTCCGACACTTCCCGAGCTAATTTCCTGTACAGCAGCATGAACCCAGTCCTGTTCTTTACTCTTCCAAACCAGTTTGTCTTCAGCAATCTGCTTCATCAAACCATCAATTTCATGTCGACTTGCTTGCTGATCTCAAAGCAACTCCTTGATCCTAATACAGGTATGATCTAATTCCATCTCCAATGCTTTTATCAATGATATTTTCGATGCATGTTGTTCTTCCAGACTCCAAATATGGTTTAGTACTTTCAGCAATTCTGTAGATGTTTTGAGATTATAATGCGACTAACCGATTCTTCCCCTAAAACTTACGGAATTGCTAGGTGTAACTGCAGGATTATAAGGTGCCACCTGAAAAAGGAGGAAATGCATGTTGAAGCTCTAGATGTATTGGAATGTGAAAAACCAAGCGGGAAAGACCAAATAAGCAAACAATACAAGGAGTGATACCTAAGGAGGATCTTATTCGAGAAAGGGCATTCCCCGCATTCAATTTTCACACTGTTATTTCTGTTAATATCAATGTGTATGGAACCCTACTCGAAAAATGCGTTTTGTGATGGTTTTTATCTCAAATAACACCAGATTAACCCAATTCTCAAATCCTTTCCTAAGACAAGCATGATATGTATTTCTATATTTCTTATATCAGTAGATATTGCTCCCGATCGCTGCAGATTGTATTGGTATGGTTGCTGCATGTAACTATGCATTTGAGCTGTTTATGCAACCGTTGCATGCAGTTTATAATGACTGTAGCAGCATTTCTGCGTCTTCGATAAATAAATATTTTTATCCAAAAATAAATTCATAAAAAAAACGCCATTCCTATTCTGTACTTCTTCTACAGATAGTGCCATTTTCAGTAGGAAGAAAAGAAAGTTTACCTCCATTGAACTGCCATAACTTGTAGGCGATACAGGTTGTAGGGCCTGATTATTATGTTTTTCAGTCCATCGATGGTGTTTCATCAGTGTTTGAACAAATATGCCTCCTCAATCTGCTTGAACTCTCTGGCTGATTGTAAAAAATAAAACAGAAAGTTAGAGGCAGGATTAAATCAACTAATACTTTGATGGGTCATCTACTTACTAATAATTATCAATTAAATGATTCTCATTTCTCATTGTAAGCCAATTTAGTTCCATTAGGTTTTGAACTCGTTCAAAAATTATTATTTTTCTCAATCGAGCAGGAAAGAAGGACATTACAAACATATAATCTAACCTAACAAACACGAAGAAAGGATATTAGAAACATATAATCAAACCTAACAAAAAAGAAACACTCTTAAGGACCAACAAAAACATAGTAAAAATCTAAGTAGAAGAATGATCAAATAACCAATATGGATAATACGAGGACAGAAAATGTAGTTTTATCAGCATAAACTGCAAACATCATCTCAACCCAAGTAAAAAAAAAAAAAGGGAAAAAAGATGAAGAAACCATATCATCGTTACCAAATACAAGATCCAAAATTCCAAATCAATCAACATTAATCTCACCAACTAATAGAAAAAGAAAAAATAAAACTAACACATGAGTACAAAAATACACATAAACAGAAGTATGGAGCAAGGAGAAAGGAACTGACATACCTGGTCAGGGTCGGAGCTGGGGCAAGTATCAGCCAAGAAATGAGAAAAATCGATGGCTTTGTTATTATTGTGGAATTGGCGTTGGTGGTACCCGCCATTACTGTTGTTAACGCCACCTCTATGCATTTTGGGATTGTGAGGGCAATGGGGAAGGTATTGATGGAACTCCTACAGTGAAGCCGCTAACTTCCTTGCAGAAACAGTGGCACGAGGAGGAAGAAGGCTGTTGTGATGATGATGGAGTGCCTGAGGGTCATAAAGTGTTTTATATAAACTAAACTTTCCAATCAAAATTTCCTCCTTTTCTGTTAACCCTTCTTTATGTTTTTCTTCCTTTTCCATCTCTCCCCCCCCCCCCCCCCCGGTTTCTCCTTGTCCTTCAAAAGTGTTTTATATAAACTACTATTATTTTCTTTCCTTTTTTACGTTTTTTTGCCTCTGGGTCTAGTTTCTAAAAGAGTGAAAATTTGTTCTTTTTGGATAGTGTTCTTTTTCTTTTCCCTATTCATTTACTCTGATCTTGGGTTCTTCCTTCTTAAGAATTAGTACTGTGATCGATCTTCCATGGAAGCATCGATAAACAAAAAAAGTTTAAGCTTTAGGAATTAATTGGTTGGATTACCCGTCAAGCATTTAGTCATTTGCAAGAAACTTGTGAATGGATTCCTAGTGATTTCCTGGGTTCTATTCATGGATGCCAGCATTTTCGAAATTATTTAGAGAAATAAAATAGATCCTCAATTTTATAGAATTGACACTTTTTTATTAAATGGATATGGTATACAAGATAAATACATGTTCATTTATGCGTGCTTACATAGCATATCAATCAATAAACACGAATAATTTAATCAAATTGATACATTTAATACCTCCAATCTGTACATACACAATCAAATTCACAAATTTTAAATTAGGGATAGGGAAAAAGGCTTGTGCGTGGCGTTCGAACACTAATAAACATAGCATCAACGGACATGAAAACCACACAAATCTTTACTGCTAAAGTTGTAATGGACCCAAAGTTCATCTGATTCGTAACTATACTGCGATATTAATCAATAAAATATACAGACAAAATAACAAAAAATTATACAATTACAGATTGCAACATGACATGTATTCATAAAACACAATGTTGGACTGAAAAGCAACGCAGAAGCAGCTAGCTAATCCAGTCGGTTATGTGATGAGTTCATCAGCTTATTGTTCAAAGTTAAAACAACCACTTTGATCTACGACTTTCCCTTTAAGATTTTTAAACGAGAACGTTGCCCTTTGGACCTTGCTTCAAGTAGCTTTGCCTTCAAAGTGTTATCCTTCGTTGTCGGAGGCAGCTTCTCAGAAGACTCTGATACGTCCAGATCAGGGGGTGTAATTTTCGTCATCCATGCCTGCACCGGGCTAGGCTGATTCCTCGGTGGTAGGTAGCTACAAGAGGCCTCGCCATAGTTGTTTTCCACGTTCATATTCCCACCTTCTGACAATGCTATACGATTTCTTATCAAGTTGTCTAGTATGTAATTTGAGCTTAGTCCATGTATCTCATCAAGCTTATTCTTTCTTCCCTCGTTGCCATATTGTGTAGCTTCATCATTTTCAAGTTTTTGCGATATTGTTGCTTCAGTGGCATTTCCTACAATATTTTCATCTTCTGCTTCTGCCAACTGGGACTTCTTATTTTCATTACTCATGGCTCTGGCCATCTTTTCTTCAAACCTAACTTGTAAGCTGGATGGATGCTGTCTTTTAATCTTCTCATGAGATGAAAGTTTTCTCTCAACGTGGTTCGACTTCATTATTTCCTCACCATCACAGTTTAGAGCTTCATCTTCATGTGATTTCAGGTCAACGCTGCTTGGTTTGTTCAGCTCAAAACAATTCGAATAACTGCTAGCAGAATCTTCCTCACGACAAACATCTTTACCTGTACTTACAGCTTCATTTAAAGGGTCAGATTCAAGTGACTTCCTCCGATCCTTTTGTGACAAATAATCAGTAGGCTTAGAAACTGAAGTACTAATCTGTTTAGCTTGAAGGAAGGTCTCTATTTCAAAGCCTAATCTGTCCACTATTGAATTCAGTTTGGGAAAACCAGACTGAGCTTCTTCTAGCTTCATCTGCATCCGCTCGTCAAGCCATGATTCAGATATATGAAGAATCAAACGATCATGGTCAGCCACTCCGGTCCAATCTTCATCGGATTTCTGTCTTAGTGTATGCAAATCCAGTTCGTAGTTTTTTATGCCCCTTGCAAACTCATAGCAAAGATCTTCCAAAAGCTTCCTCGATTTCCTTTCCCTTTCGAGATCTTTCAAGGCATTAGAAAGAGAAGCTTTTGACTCGGACACTTCCCGAGCTAACTTCCTGTGTAGATTTTCGGATCGTTTTCTTATCTTTCTCTCATCTTCTAGTTCATCCCTTGCCGACTGTACAGCAGCATGAATTCGGTCCAGTTCTTTGCTCTTCCTAACCAATTTGTCTTCGGCAATCTGCTTCATCAAATCATCAATTTCGTGCCGACATGCTTGCTGATCTCGAAGCAAATCCTTGATTCTAACACGGGCATGATCTAATTCCTTCTTCAATGCTTTTATCAATGATATATTGGACGCATGTTGTTCTTCCAGACTCCAAATATGGTTTAGTACTTTCAGCAGTTCTGTAGATGTTTTGAGATTATAATTCGACTCATCGATTCTTCCCCTAAAGCTTATGGAACTGGTAGGTGTGACTGCAGGATTATAAGGTACCACCTGAAAAAGGAGGAAAAGCAAGTTGAAGCTCTATATGTATTGGAATGTGAAAAAACAAGTGGGAAAGACTTACTAAAAAACAAACAATACAAGGAGGGATTCCTAAGGAGGATCTTATTCGAGAAAGGGCATTCCCCGCATTCAATTTTTGCACTGTTATTTCTGTTAATATCAATGTGTAAGAATCCTACATGAAAATGCTTTTTGTGATGGTTGTTATCTCAAATAACAACCTACTAACTCAATTCTCAAATGCTTTCCTAAGACAAGCACGCTATATATTTCTATGATTGGAATAAAACATTAAGACATCATGAACACCCAGCTACATAACTTATCAACTTAGAACCCAACTCAATAACTAAAATAACTAAATTTTAGTTAAAGACTAGGGGACAATAGTCAGACTACAACCGATATGAGTCAATATGGTCACAAGGCTCAAGCTTGTCCCCATACACAGGACTCCTAAGAATCATTCTTCCCTTAGCTCCAAGTTGAGTAGCTTCAGTTGAATTATCAATTTAAGAAAGAATTCTATCCGTTCGGCTTGGGGGCTTTGTGACTCTTGGGGGCTTTGTGACTTTACGTTTCTTATATAAGTAGGTATACGAATGTAGCAGCAATTCTGCATCTTGGATCAATAGATCTTTTTATCCAGAAATAAATATCAGAAAAATAAAACCACCTCCCCTCCTGTGTACTTATTCTACAGATGACACCATTTTTAGTATGAAGAAAAGAAAATTTACCTCCATTGAACTACCATAACTTGCAGGTGATACAGGCTGTAGGGCCTGATTACTTTTTTCAGTCAACCGATGGTGTTTCATTAGTGTTTGAGCAATATGCCTCCTCAAACTGCTTGAACACTCTGGCTGATATAAGAAATAAAACAGAAAGTTAGTTGTAGAAGGTATTTTTACAAGCTCTGGTAATCTCTAAAGCTTTGTTCTTATACAAGTGGCTGAAGACATTGTCCTGAAGCCACCGAAGACTAGATTAATCCAACTAAAACTTTACTGGTCATCCATTTACTAATAATCATCAATTAAATGATTCTCATTCCTCATTGTAAGCCAATTTAGCTCCATTAGTTTTGAACACGCTTGACAAATTATTATTATTTTCAATCAAACATGAAAGAAGGACATTACAAACATATAATCTAACCCAACAAACACGAAATACTCTATGGACAAAAAAAAACGCTGTAAAAATCTAGGCAGAAGAAAATGTGGTTTAATCAACATAAACCGTAAACATCATCTCAACCCAGATAAAAGAAATGAACAAGCCATTTCAATATTTACCAAATACAAGACCCAAAATCCCAGATCAATCAACATCAATCTCACCAACTAATAGATCAATTTTTTTATTAAAAAAAAGCCCTTCAGAAAGAAATTTAACATACGGGTACAACAATACACATACACAACTTTTATACATAGACAAAATTAAAGCATGAAGCAAAGAGAAAGGAATTGGAATACCTGGTCAGGGTCGGAGCTGGGGCAAGGATCAGCCAAGAAATGAGAAAAATCAATGGCTTTGTTCTTGTGGTGGTGGCGGCGTTGGTGGTAGCTGCCATTAGTGTTGTTAAGATCACCTCTATGCATTTTGGGATTATGAGGACGATGGGGAAAGTATTGATGGAAATCCCACAGTGAAGCAGCTAACTTCCTTGCAGAAACAGCGGCAGGAGGAGGAAGATTGTTGTTATGATGAAGATGAGCCTGTGGGTCGTAAAGTTTCCAAGAAGGGAGCGGGGTACAGGGACCCTCTGTTTTCCTATTCCCTACCGATAATACCCTCCGACTCAACTTTTCACACAAATTCTCCTCCTTTTCCGCTAACCCTTCTTCACTTTTTTCTTCCCTTTTCATTTCTCTCTCTCTCTCTCTCTCTAGCGGGGCCTTCGAAAGTGTTTCATATAAAACTACTGCTGTTTTCTTTTTTACTTTTATTGACCCCGGACCTAGTCTCCAGAGTGAAAACTCTGTTGTTTTTGGTGGGTATTTTCTCCCTATTGAATTACTCTGGTTTTGGGTTCTTCTCTCTCAAGAGAATCGTATTGTGATCGATCTGCGTGAGCATCGACAAACAAAAAGGTTTGATTACCTGTCAAGCATTTAGTTGGCCTCCCGCCAAATTGTACTGTACACGAAGCTTGTAGTGAATGATTTGGTTAGTGACATACTCAACTAGGTGAATAAATTCCACATGGTGTTTACAATTTTATTTTGTCTTTTCACTTTTTTTAAAAAAAAAAAACAAGTAGATTCATTTAGATTCTTTTACCTAAAAAAATACCTTAAATTTTTATTTACCAATTTAAGACATTTAAATAACTACTTATTAAAATAATATTTTTTAATTGACCGAACGTGTTGTACAGGATAAATATGTATATGTCCAATTAGTTGTGCTTTCATCAACAAATCTTGATTTTAAATTCATGATATGAGGAAAGCAAGAATGATGAAGCGTATTTTTCTTAGTTAAAAAAACTAAAATGTATTTTGTTGATTGTGTATTCATTTCTCGTCAGATTTCCTCAATGCCAACTTAACAAAGATTCTTTATGAATCTCGATATTTATCTAATCAGATTCTTCTCAATACCAAACTAACAAAGATTTTAAGTATGTTTTGTAATAATTTTATTTATATAATATAAAAACATTTGTGTTTGTTTATATAGAGAGAGTAAAATTTTAGTCTTGTTAGAAAAAATTGACCATACGTAGAGAATCGGGACAAATCTTTATATTTCAGTTGATCTAATGATTAACAATAGAAGTCTACTTAATCTTTCAAATGGAGTCTTATCGAAAATTCTGAAATGTGTTGTGCAAGATTCTATGTAGGGTTTCCTCAAGCTCAGCCAGTGTTGCAAGACATTTCTCGAAACAACTAGAAACGAGTACATATTTAAGACTATTTTCTTACATAATTATGGTTATTTATCATGATCGAGACAAGAGTTCTTACTTAAAAAAAAAAGGCTTTGCAACAAATAGTTCTCATGCCTTATAAATGATTAGATGTTTTAATGAAGTTCTCAGTGATATCAAAAATGATATTAGGGTTATTAGGGTTACTTATATTCTGGACGTTAAAGTCGTTTTGTATAAAATCTTGCATGTCAAAAAAGGATATCAAATTTTATTGTCTTTGGACCTCTTGTAGTCGAATTTTGTTTTTAATATGCTTATGTTGTGTCGAAATATTACTAAGTGTATGATCGTTGGTATGCATTTAAAAATCATATCTTGAACTGCCTATACGATCTTCTTTCTCGTGTAGTGATGGTACTGCTCATGCCTTTATTATTTCTGGAATTATGAATCCAGTTGATTTACTAGATAGTCATAATAATTAACAGTATTGTTTATTTTTATCAACGTTCATTTTTTTTAACAAGCTTAAGCTATACGAACCAATATTTTTGTTTATTTGTTTGTAATGTTGAATATTATCTGCTGAAATTTGTTATCTCATACTAGGCTTTTAGCAATTAAATATATTCATAAATATTTACCCCGCATAATAATAAAACTCATTATTATTCTATTTTCAAAGTTCCCTCATAGCTTCGGCTATTGATGATTACTTGAGGTCATGTCCTTCTTTTAGATCTCATAGGGCGTATAGGGGCGGGCTCAACAGAGTGGTGTCAAGGAGACTAGACTTAGAGTTTGTACGTTGAATGTAGGCACATTCAATGCTAGGCTACTAGAGCTGACCAATGTACTAAGTAATAGGAAAATAGATTTTGCATATATTCAAGAGACTAGGTGGAAAGGGGCTCGCGCCAAAGAGTGTAATGGGTACAAGTTGTGGTATTCAGGCGTAGATAACGCTAGAAATGGGGTGGTATCTTGGTATCCTCTAGGCTCAAGGAAAATGTAGTTGAAGTTTGTAGATACCGTGATAGTATCATGATGATTAAGGTTATTATAGAAGCGGAAGTGGTGAATGTCCTTTCAGTGTACGCCCCACACGTTGGCCTAGGGGAAGGGGAAAACATTGCTTCTGGGATTCGTTAGATGATGTACTTAGGAGCATTCCGGAGGACCAAAGAGTTTTCATAGGGGGAGACTTCAATGGCCATATAGGTAGTGAAATCGACGGGTATGACGGTGTTCATGGGGGTTTCGATTTCGGTAGTAGGAACGAAGAGGGGCGTATGTTGCTTGAATTTGCTATTGCACATGATATGGTGGTCACAAACTCCTTCTTTAACAAGAGAGATGTGAACTTGATTACGTTCCATAGCGGGGGACATTGTACCCAAATCGACTACATACTGGTTCGAAATCGGGATCGATGGGCTTACATTGATTGTAAGGTGTTCCCTGAAGAGGCATGTGCATCACAACACAGATTGTTGGTTTTGGTATTCTGCATACGTAACAAGGGGAGCACTCATAGGAGGGCTAAACTAGGTAAACCTAGGATTCTTTGGAAGAACTTGCATGGAGCGACAACTGATGACTTTAGGAGTAAGGTTTTGTCTCATTCAAGTTTTGGAACTACAAACTCAAATAATGCTGATATATTATGGAAGAATATGGCAAATTCCATAAGAGATGTGGGCAAAAACATCCTTGGGTTGTCGACAGGGAAGGTCAAGGAACATAAAGAATCGTAGTGGTGGAATGACGAAGTCCAAACTAAGGTGAAGATAAAGAAAACTTGTTTCAAGGAGTTCCTACAATGCAATGATGACGAAGAAATATCGAGAGCTAAACAAATATACAAGGAGACAAAACGGGAAGCCAAGAAAAAAGTGGCTAAAGCAAAGGATAAGGCATACGAGGAAATGTACAAGAGATTAGACACCAAGGAAGGAAAAAACAACATCTTCAGGCTTGCAACATCCAGGGAGAATAGGAAAAAGGATCTAGGTAGCATTAGGTTTATTAAGGACAACAATGGTGTTCTTTTAGTGAAAGATCATGATATTAAGAGGGCTTGAGGTAGTTATTTATTTGGCTTATTTAATAACGGTGCCTCTCCCTATAGAGATAGTAACGTTGATGGGTCAGACGACCATCATACTACGACCAATGACTGCCATACAAGTAGGATTGGGATTGAGGAAGTCAAAATGGCCCTTAGAAAGATGGGGAGTGACAAAGCTGTCGGTCCATATCAAATTCCTATCACTGTGTGGTTGACACTAGGAGAAGAGGGAGTAAAGTGGTTGACCAACATCTTTAATATTATTTTAGAGACTGCCAAGATGCCAGAGGAGTGGAGAGAGTCGACGGTGATACCAATCTATAAGAATAAAGGAAATCCCCAACGTTGTGGTAACTACAGATGTATTAAACTACTCAGTCATACCATGAAGCTATAGGAAAGGGTGATAGAGGCTAGGTTGAGACTGGTCACTAGGGTTTCGGAAAACCAATTTGACTTTATGCCAGGCAAGTCTACTACGGAGGCGATTCATATACTTCGACGACTTATGGAGAAATATAGGGAAAAAATAGAGATCTTCACATGGCGTTCATTGACCTTGACAAGGTGTATGATAACGTACCCCGCGATATGATCTGGAAGACCTTGGCGATTCGTGATATGTACTGTAGATCTACTACATACGTCAGGACTACAGTTGGCGACACCGAGGCATTCCCGGTGGAAATCGGACTCCACCAGAGGTCAGCTCTTAGCCCTTACACCTTCGCATTGATTATGGACGACATCTATTGTGCGACACCAGACGGTGTTCCATGGTGTATGCTTTTTGCTGACGACATTGTCCTAGTTGCTGAAACAAAAAATGAGTTGAATAGTAGACTGGCTACTTGGAAGACTACTTTGGAAGAAAAAGGTCTAAGGATCAATATTTAAAAGACAGAGTATTTATGTTCAAACTTCAGTGAGAACCAAACGATGAAGATGTAGAAGTTTGCATCGAAGGACACGTTCTCCCCTCAAAGGATTGTTTCAAGTACCTAGGGTCTATGATACATAAAGATGGGGGTGTAGACGATGACGTTACACACAGTATAAAGGCGGGATTTCTAAAGTGGATGGGTGCTACTGGAGTTTTGTGTGACAAGAAGGTGCCTCTAAAACTTAAGGGAAAATTTTATAGAATGACAATAAGACCAGCGCTGCTGTATGGATCAGAATGTTGGGCAATCAAGAAGGATCACGTAAGGAGGATAGAGGCCGCAGAAATGAGAATGCTTCGATGGGCATGTGGTAGGACTCTGTGGGATATGACACCAAACTCTGCAATTAGGATGTCCTTAGGGGTGGTGCCTGTATCCGAAAAATTGAGGGAGGGAAGACTACGGTGGTTTGGGCATGTCCTTAGGCGACAACCGTCGGATGCGGTCAGGAGGGTAGAGTCGATTACAGCCGATGGTGCCAGAAGGAGAGGACGACCAAGGAGGAAGTGGGTAGACTGCTTGAGATATGATTTGAAGGATTTAGCCCTTACCAAGAACATGACCTCTGACAGGAAAATATGAAAACTCAAGACCAGGGTAACTGAGTAGTGTGGGTCTCAACCACAGGGTGTAGCATCTCTATCTTCTTTTTATTGCCTTTGTAGTTATTTTCATGACTACTACTTTTAATACGGCTCTGTCATTGGAATTTATGAAGGCTTAGAACTAGGGTAGCGGAGTAGTGTTGCCTTAGTTTAGGTTTTAACCCATTTGACTTTACACCTTCTAGTAGCTTGCTATCGCTGACTACTGTGTATCATTCTCTTCATGTTTCATCTTTTTAAATTTAGCCGGGACTTACGTTTCTGTCTATATGCAGAGATTTTTACGTAGGGATTTATTTGCATCGATTACTTACCATTACAGATACGCATATGAAGACTACATATGAAGTCTGTTCAACTATGTATTTATTTATTTATACATGCATGTATTTTATCTATATTTTTAGCTTTCTAACTGCCGGAGGTTTTCCACGGATGCTGCTCTCTACCTGTCGTTGGGGGCAGCCTACTACCCTACCTCCCCCTTACCCCATTGCATATGGGAATAGGGTTGTTGTATTATTTTTTTATAGTTATGTATGTAAAATATCGTGAATAGTAC